TCACCCTGGGACCTACCCCCTAAGGGACAAGCGCCATCGACACTGAAGGGAAAAGACAGCCCTTGAGACAACGGAGACCAGGGCACGTGAAAAGAGGTGGGAGAAGCCTTGGCTCATGTTCTCCCACAGATCTAGAGCTGTCCCCAAACCCTCCAGTGAGCAGGAGCTGCAGGGCTCTGCCATCCCCAGCTGGCTGCGTGGCCTTTACTCGCACCAGGGCAGGAGCTCCTCCTCCGGGGGACCTGGCTCAGAAAGCCAGACCAGACAGCACATCCCAGGGCAAGAGGCTAGAAAGCAGGGGCTAGGGACTACAGGGCCTGTTACAGATGACAAAAAAAATTACCTGGCACCACCACAATTCTGCCCTTCGCCTGAAAGAAGAATAACATGTTAGCGATATTGCTCAGCACTACATTCGCACGTGCATTTGTGGGGCGGCAAAGAAACCTTACATGCAGCGCCTTCCATAAGCTCATGGATGTCACCGCGGCTTACGACTGTGCACTCTCACCCATCTTTTTTTGTACTATTCACGTTTTACAAGGAAAAGTGGAAAAGAATTTGCAGTTACAGCTAAGACAACTTGTCACCATTTCCTCCTGCCTCTCTATCCCACCGGGCTACCTCTCAGGTACGTCCATTGCATTTTCCTAACAGTGACTGTGAAACCCCAGCAGGGACCTCGCCTGGCTGTTTCCATGGGCTAATCACGTCAGCTACTGAAACCACCTCTTACCGCCCTCCTCCCTGTCTGCGAGCAAGAACAACCCAACAAGTCTTTGCTGTGGGAGGCTTCGGGCTCCAGCCCACGTGGACTTGGGAAAACAGATTAAGGCCAAGCCAGACAAGAAGGGCAAGTGCTTCTTGACGGAAGTTCCCTTACAGAGGTGAGGGCTACTATAAAGGAGCTGCCTCCAGGCAATGCCCAGGAAGCAGCCACGGTAACCCAGGGGAGCACAGGGAACACTTACCTGTTCCGCAAGTCTCTTAATTAAGGACAATCCTTCCAGCGCTGAGCTGTCACAGCCACTTGTCAACACCCGCTCAAACCCCAGAGAAATCAGGGTCTCCAACGCCACCAGAGGGTCGTGCACCATGTCGAAGGCTGAGAGACCAACACAACAGGTCAGAAATCACTGAGTTCATCGTGCTCAAGCCCTGTCCCCCAGCCAGCTCAGGAGCCCAGGAGACAACAATAGGAAGGGTCCTTCTCACAGCTGGCCAGCCCCATGGGGAGCCACAGCTCCTGACTATAACATCCCCCTCGCAGCAGTGGCGGGGCCACTGTGCTCAGCTCCTCAGACACCTCCTCTCCACACAGGGCAGCGACACATCCCCCAGGCCCGGACCCTTCCCCTGCTGGGGGAACAGCCCAGCCACAGCCTGCTCTTGCCCAGCACACAGAGCTTCCCCCCCCTCCAAAGAATGACTCAAGTACAATAAGCTCAGCTCCCTCCTGGCCCCACCTTCCCCTGGCAGCGGGGTCCCTGCCAGGGCCGCTGTCCCAGGTGACTCACCTCGGTGAAACGTGACTGGCAGGGGACGGCACACAGCTGCAATAAGAAGAGATATGGTCAGTCAGCGCTGGCACAGAGAGTCCCTCGCCCTAGAACCAGAAAAGCTCATGAGGCGAAAGAGGGCAAAGGCTTCTCGGGCCGTTCCTGGGCAGCTCAGAAGTCTCCCAGTACTTGCTGGAAACAACACAGCGGCTCCTCTTTGGCCACACTCTTGGCAAGGAAAACTCTTCTGCCCTTTGAGGAAGCAACAAACCTTTGTTTTTATGAGTAACCCCAAAATCCTCCATCTCATCTGGATCATGCAAAACCCTCATTCCCACCAGAGATGTCTTTCTCTGCAGGAAGGAAGCAGGAAAGTTGTCTCTTCTACCTGGGGAAGGGACAGGACCAGTGCTCCTTGAAAGCAGGAGAGTTGATTTTTGTAATTTCTTTCACTACCTATAATTTCTGCTCTATTTCAGACCACAGCAAACTTCACCAGCGGGGCTCTATTTACTGGGCAAAGGTTATTTATTTCTATGAAAAGAAATCCAACTGCCTCCTGCCCTGGAAACACAGGTTCCAGCAGAGCACCTCATTGCTCTAGTGGAGGCAAATCCTGGCAAGACCCCTCTCTTTTGCTGCACTCCCTACAGCACATTCACCTTCATACGAGAACATCAGCACCACATCACCAGGGAAAGGCCCAGCCCTCTTTAGCTTTAGTTGTAGCTCACAGAAAAGATGTGGAAGCAAATTCTCTTTCTATGTGTTAGGGGTCTGGACTAACAATTTCCCACTGCAGCTTCAGTAGCCTTTTATACGTTTCCATCTCTCTCTCATTATCTTTTCTCACTGGCTGTGTTAGCGGAAGAAATGAAGATGAGTTGCCAGCTACCCACAAGGCCAAAATCCAGGAGAGACATATCCTAGACACCTGTAGCAGGGACGTAAGAAAAAGAACAAAGGGCAAAGAAGATGAAGAAGGGAGAGAATCCAACAGTTTCATATTCTGATGCCCCCAAAGCAGCTCACCTAAGCCTCTCTCCTTCTTAGACCCTATTATGTCCCCAGTGGCCTCAAACTCTGTGTGAGCTGCTTGGGGCAGCGGTCCTTGATCTGCAAAGCTTCTTACCTATTTACCGTCTCACAGGTATGACACTACAGGAAACTGGAGAAGGTGGAGAGAGACATCAAGACCACAGACAAGGCGTGCAGACCAAAGCACCCTGGAGTTCTTTCTACAGCATCGGACAGAGCAGCACCGAATTCCCAGTCACGGCACAGACATCGCCCACAGCTCAGCACAGCCTTTCTGACCGGAGGCACTCTTACCCAGCAGCGCCGTGCAGAGCTCCGTGTCAATGCGCCCGTCCTCAGTCAGGGCCCCGAACACCAGCCCGTCGGCCCCGTGCAGCTTGGCAAGGCGGATGTCAGCTTTCATCACTTCAACCTCCCGGTCCGAGTAGAGGAAATCTCCCCCACGAGGTCGGATCATCACGAACACGGGGACCCTGACGCACTGCTTCACCACCTGCAGCAGTCCTGGGGCGGCGGGGAGGGAGGAAGGCAGCTCAGCACCCAGCTACCGGGGGAGGCAGCAGGGAGGGGCACACGGGGCGGGGGCACGGAGAGAGGGGAATCATAGAATGGTTTGGGCAGGGACATCTTCAACCAGATCAGGTTGCTCACAGCCCCATCCAGCCTGGCTTTGAATGTTTCCCAGGAGGGGGCACCCACCACCTCTCTGGGCAACCCCTTCACTGTTTCACCACCCTCATCGTGAAAAATTTTTTCCTCGTGTTCAGTCTAAATCCACTCTCCTTTCGTTTAAAACCATCACCCCTTGTCCTGTCGCAGCAGGCCTTGCTAAAAAGACTGTTCCCATCTTTCTTGTAGGCCAACTGTACGTATTGAAAGGCTGCAATAGGGACGGCTGGGGAAGGGCAGGAAGGCGCTGGGGGGGCGCTGGGCGCCCTGGCACCCCCGCCCGGGGCGGGGGAGCGGGCTGAGGGCAGGGCAGGGAAGGGCCCGGGCCGCCGCGGGGCAAGACGGGGGCGGGCG